AATAATATAGAAACTTCGTAGATGAGTAAAGGATAAAAAATTGCTCTATATTGCAGTGATGAATACAGTTAAAAATGAATTAGAATGAACGTCGATCACCAGTCAGGACGATTGAGCAATTACTTTCTCACTCATTGTGAGCCTTCACTGGTCTGTAATCGCGACGATCCATCACATTTCAGTTGACCCACGAGTTAACATGTCGCTTAAAGGAGCAGACGCTTTAAGCCGTTAAGTCGCTAAACGATCAGCCGCGAACACGTGAGGAATCCAGTCGCTAAGTGGCCGTTGCGCAAGTCGACTTCCTATTTAGTCGCATTTTCCTTCATCAGATCCATTTGTACTGAGCTCGCAGATTATTTACGTGTTTACTTCGGCCACGATTCGAGTATATTCGATTCGAAATGTTCTCGGCCACGCGACGAAAGCGCGCGTTGCGTAACCCCTACTTACGCTTTCTTATCCTAAATGTTCTTATCTAGTTTCAATAGCTTCACACCCGCAATGATACCTGACGTTGATAACAAACAAGATCAAACACCGGATATGACCAGCCTTGTGATGAGTATGGGAACTACATATATGATTCTCGTTTAGAAATATTTTACTCTTTTTCAATGCATACAATTCAATTGTGATAAAACTCTTGAATAATTCAAGTCGTGTTTAATTATATAATACATGATCAAAACTAGGTGTCTTCTATATTCGTTCATATTTTTCCTCGTGATATTTATTTGAAAAATCGAAAATGTCTCGGGGAATGAAACGTGGCTACAATTTCGGCAAGAAACGCCAGATTACGCAGTTGCAAGGGCGCGAGACGATTCGCTCGACGCGGCTCGTTACCATTCGGGTTAATTGGCCGGCGGCGGTTAGTCCCGAGTGGGTGCAGCCGTGGTTATGCCCACACAAGCATGCCGCGTGATGTTGTTGCACTCGCGAGCGGCTCGAACGTGCTGCAATTATGTATTCGCCGGAGTTTCGCGTTCCGCTTAAGTGTCACGGTGACGCGCTCCGGCTGTGCCCTCCAAATGTCCGATACGTTCAACCAGGCTTGTTACCTCTACGTCTTTACTCCCTTTTCTTTCTCCTTCGTCCTCTTATTTTCGTTTGAACACCACTTCGGAAATCGATGCAGTATTACGCGTCTTTTTACTCCCTTTTCCTTGTCTTGCGTTGTTTGCTCCTTTGCATAATCCGGCCGAACAAAGGAGTCGCTCGAGCGACCAGTTTCACAAATTTTTGGAGTCGGGGATCCCCTCCGGCGTGACGAAAGCGAGGTAAAAGGAAATGGCTCTCCACCAGTTTTGAGAAACGAGCGCTCGTCGACGATTGGCCCTCAGGAACGCCGTGTTGATTCCTCGCCTTGGTACGCACTGATTACGATGGTAGATATTGTACTTGAGTATGGTTACCGGATGCAGTTAGGTGTTAAAACGAGAAATACACTTGTTCTTATGTGATTGGTGCTATCGCAACCTAATTGATCTCGTTTGTTGGTTTCCGTAATGTAAGTATGAATTAATCCAGTAACGTGAGAAGAAAGTTTTCTAGAAATTAATTATATCCTAGCTTTGGTTTACCATAGAGTCCAATAAAAATATCTTTAATCAAATCTTGAAGAACAATTGTGATCTTGAAAAAATTAATATCCGTGTTACGTTACTGATAATTCTAAACGATGAATATTGATCGATTGTGGTACAAAAGATATTTGAAGCTTTGAAAGTTTGAAGTACATACACTACGGTTTTGGGGACTGTGGGTGCGCCATTGAGATCCGGTATCGACGAGCCTTCCGGAACCCGGCGACTCGCTTGGCTAGCTCTGCTAATCGAGAAACGAATGGGGGAGGCAAAGAAATATATCGACAGGAGAAGCAGCATAAAAGAAAATCCTTTGAAATGGAGAGGTAGGTATCTGCTCGCCCACCACGTGGCCAATACTACGAGAAACCGAATACATCGAAACCTACTATTCATTTTTACTATTACTATTTATCATTCATTATTACATTTATTATTTTCTTTACTACTAATCATACTAATAAAATACATTATCCTCTTGAATTGCAATATAATCATCTTACATACATTCTTTTTAATTGTTTATTAAAAATATAATTACGTTCTCTATATGTACGTGTGGGAACTAATGATTAATCAGCATAAACATCGTATTTCAAGATTTATCCCTGTTATTCTTCATTTAAAATATGTACGAAAAGTATGTACATACCTTGTACTATACTATAAGAACAACGCAGATACTGAATGAAAACGCGGAGAATTGCGATCGTCATTTTAAGTGATACTTTCAGCGGTCGGTTTCAACTACTCTAGCTGCTTAAAATTCACGTCTCGAGATTCATTCAATCGTGGTACTTTTCCCAGGCTTACCTATGTATATGTACCTACGCGTATGTATGTTGCTATTTATCTCTCTCACCACGAAATAGATATATCTCTTGGTTCTTGACGAGGACAGATTGGAAAAGCACGTGATTCTCGTCTAAAGCACTACTTCCTATGATAGAAAACTTAAATATTTTCCAAGGCGTAGCTTCTCAGCAATACCTTCTGTTTGTTAATAATATCCATGTTAAAAACATACCTAAAAATCATGTAGAACAGAAA